GACTGTAACGGGGCAACACCGTGACTACACCCCACCCTTCTGCTTTGCTTCAGAAAAATACAAAAAAAGAACCAGCGCAGTTTTTACATTGTATTGTTTGTCAAACAGTCTTAAAACTTGACTTTTTGCCATTGTTTTCAATATATCCACCTCTAGGGCCGAAACAATGAAAGATAGGGCAAATCCGAGGGTAGTTCCTGATTCAGAATGTGTTGTTTTGGGGGGGTACTTCCTCTTCCATTTTACGATTGGAAGCCTCCTAGTACGTCTTTATGTGCAACGTAGTCATTTTCTCCGTATTTCGGTCAAAAAAAGCACCCTAGCGCCCAAACGGTGCAAGATAGAGTCGAACGGGCAAAATTTTCGTTCAAAGGGATCTACTTTTACGAGTTACCCCTTAGGAGACCATAAAAAAAATATTTTTTTCCTACTTTGTAGACCAACCCCTATTTCTTTGTAACCCCCTTTCACCCCCTTAGGGGTTGTTGCCAGGATTTGCACCAGGCGTTTCGTTGTCCAGGAGTGACCCTTAAGATACCCTGAAATTTTCAGACCTCTAGCTCATCTCCTTCCTCTAACACGGACGACGGACGGACGGACGGACACGAGAGCGGTTGCATAAGCCCGCTTTAATGCTTTTTTAAAAGCAGAAGGGCGGGCTAAAAACCGCTCACCGCCTCCGTGGCTCTGAGAAAACGCTCAGCTCACTCCCCGCCTGCGGACAACCGCTTACCTCGCTTGGCGCTCCGGATAACCGCTTAAGTCAGTCGCTTTTTCACCGAAGACGTAATATTGGTATCATTCGAAAGTGAATTTCCGCCTCTTTCGAATGATACCAATATTACGTTTTCGGTGAAAAAGCGACTTAAGCGGTTATCCGGAGCGCCAAGCGAGGTAAGCGGTTGTCCGCAGGCGGGGAGTGAGCTGGGCGTTTGTCCGCAGCAGCCGAGGCGGTGAGCGGTTTTTAGCCCGCCCTTCTGCTTTGAAAAAGCTATCCAGCGGGCTTATGCAAACGACCT